AAGTCGCAGCGGTTTTGGCTATCTCCATCTTTGGCATTATATAAGAAGTCGTTCTCTGGGCCTTACCTCAAGTGCGTTCATCCCTGCAAAGTAGAAGCATTCTTGTTCGAAATACATGAAGGGGTGTGTGGAAGTCATCAAGGGGGAAGGTCGCTCGCCTACAGGGCTATTTCACAAGGATATTGGTGGCCTTATATGCAAGCAGACTCAGAAAAATATGTGAAGAGCAGTGGGGGAGGGTGTAAAAGGATAAGCATTATCCTTGGGAGAATGAATCCTAGGAGGACTCTGCATGGAGAAATACAATTCCTACTAGGATTGTGCCATATGAAACTTATAAAAGCTCACAAGCAACCACCTTGGAGGAGGTAATTGAACACAATCTTTCTGAGAACTTAGAGCTTTGTCTATTTGTCAAGTTTTCTGACTTAGGCATCGGAGAGGTTTCCGGCACACACCCGCCGGCTAGCTCACGTTTGTGTTTTCAGGTGACAAAGCGACGTCGTACGGAGGAGCGTGGACTTAGTCAACAGGATTATACGAGGAGAATTATTTCTTCCCCGTACACTAACTTTTCACTAACTTTCCAAAACACCCCTATGATGGCTAAGAACTAAGGAAGCAACACCAAAAATAGATGTTTTGCAGATAATTCCCACGGTTTAGCTATGGTGCATTTTATTTAGAAACAGTTTCAGTTTTGAAATACAATTCACGGGCAATGTTTTGCATATTTCAATGAAAGCCTACATGAATTTCACATGCTATAGTCTGCAAATACATATGTTGAGCCCGAAACACAAAAACATTTTCATGAATTTCACACAACTATTCTGCAAACAGATATGTTGAGCCCAAAACACAAAAACAAATGTCTGCATAAACATGTGACAATTGGCTATATAGCCATTATTTTGAACACATATAAGTACTTAAATTGAACAACCACACGTACTAAAGCAACATGAACAACCACAAGTAATATAACTTCAAGTGCTCACAGAAGACTTTTGCTTGAAAAGCCATAAAGTTTTCCTGCAGATGCCAACCAACAAAATGGGAATCGATATGAAGAACAGGGCTGGACCTTCATTGGGTGATACTGCCTTCAACGAGAACATATAAGAACCAAATAGAGCCGAAATTGAGATATGAGGCCAAGGCTTTAGTGGGAATTCATGCAGAAGGAATATAATAATGCCCACTGATGCGATGAACACCATGGAATTCAACAACATGAGCGAGCGGGACATGATTGAATCATGTATATAGCAATCTTTGGAAGTGCTTCCAAGGAGGTGAAAAGGTACTTGGAAGGTTATTGTTGCAAACAGGGTGGCTATCAGCAGCAAAACATTTCTGAATCCAATAATGCGCATAACAGTTCTTATTTCTGATAACCCATTGGACAACCCTCTTTGACTATAATCATCATTGTGCTTCATTTTTTGTGTGGTTAATTCCTTTGAGCCGTTGGACAATCCTCCATGACTATAATCATCACTGTGCTTGATTTTTGTTTGGTTAAATCCCAGGCCATCATAGCCTTAGGTTCTTGACGGATCTTGCCAATTCCAATATGCATATTCTCTGATTGAGGTAGATCATATGAGCCATTGTCACCATAAACATCATTGTGCTTGATTTTTTGTTTGGTTAAATCCCAAGCTAACGTAGCTCTACGTTGTTGAAGGGTCCTATCAATTTCGATATCCATATTCTCTGATTGAGGTATATCATATGAGCCATTGTCACTATAAAGATCACTGTGGATGATGTTTTGTTTGGTTAAATCCCAATCTATCATAGCCCTAGGTTCTTCACTGATTCCGTCAATTTCGAAATCTATATTTTCTGAATGAGGTAGATCATATGAGATGTCGAGAGCCACAGAACCACCACGGTTCAAGGGAAGTGATACTCTTATAATCTGCAATTACATTTAACTGTGAATTCCTCTGTTTCTGAAAGCAGAGCACGATAATATGAGAAACAACATACAAAAAAATGATGAAAAACATAGTCAAATATGCAGATTGTCTATTTTTTCTTTAATTCTTTATTTTTTTTTTTTCAATTTTTCCTCTGTTTCTAAAACTATGTTTAGTTTGATGTAAAATGTTTTTCTTTGAAAAAAAAAAAAAACATTTTATAAAACTTTATAATATTTCTCATTTTCCAGTGTTTGACTTATACCTTAAAGAAAAAAAAAAAATCTCAGATAAATGGCATAAATAGAACCAAAAAAAACTAACTTAAAATCTCAGATAAATGGCATGAATAGAACAAAAAAAATAGAACCAAAAAAAACTAACTTAAAATCTCAGATAAATGGCATGAATAGAACAAAAAAAAAAACTAACTTTCAAAGACAAGTTTTCAAGAACCCATAAGCCCAGAAATATTTCAATTCAGAAGTCTCATAAATTCAATTCTATTAACCAAGCATTTGAAAAAAAAAGAAAAAAAAAATCTACTAAATAAACACAAACAAAATCATAGTACTTGCCATTGACACATTTTATCAAATTCTTCAGGGACAACAAAATTGATGACTTTTCACCAGTAAAACGAATAATCGATGGATAAAGTTCAGTAACTGAGATTAACAAGTCAGAGATTTAATTAAACAAATCCTAAAGAAACCAAGATCCAATTTCGGGTTTAGGGTATATGTGATGAATTGAAAGGAAGAGAAACAAATACCTGGAATTGTTTGCTTGAAGTAGAGAATTGAACAGCAGTTTTTCCCTTACAATCCTTCAAACTAAGAAGATAGAGAAAGTCAGGCCTTTCTCCAATAACCTATCTTAGCAAGTGCATAACAACCTCGATCTGGTTATGATTAATAGCCACATGAACACAAGTCCTCATTGTTTTCGCAGTCACCTCTTTCACAGCTTCAGGGCAATATTTCAAAATCAAATCTACAACACCAATTCTACCTTTCTGTGCAGCGATATGAAGAGGCGTGAATCCAAACTCGTTCTTCGCCAAACACGAGTCTTTGTTCTCTCGAATCAACTCTTCCACAGATTTCAAATCGCCGTCCTCACAAGCTTTGTGCAAAGTTTTCTTCATGCGAAAACAGAGTTTGATAGGCCGAATCACCCAGGAAAGTTCGTTCCTTACTTGACGCTCCATAAGACGATGAAATTGATCATTGATCATCTTCGAAAAAACCTCACTTAATTGAAATCTCCCACTGCGTTCTTCGCTGTTGTTTGCAGATGCATCGATCTCCATTTTCATAAAAGCGTGAGAGACAGACAACTGGGAATTTTTTTCCAAGCTTGATTTGTTTGTTTGTTTGTTTCTAAGGATTCTGAGATGAACAATGTCTCCTACACTTCGTTCTTCAAAAGAAAATTAATTACTATTCTCCTCTATTTCATTATAGTAATACTTATAAATTCATTTTTACGTGGTCACACTTCAAATTTTCTAATGCCATGGCTATATTTTTCAGACAGAATTATCCGTCATAAATTATTTTGGAATTAAAATTTAGACAAATAACATAAAACTAAAAGTAGTTGTTGAAATAATAATAATAATAATAATAATAATAAGATATTTTGACCCCCTCTCTCTCTCATTGGTTAGATTTTCTTTTTCTTTTTCTTTTTTTTCCTGCTCCTCCAATCACCACCCGCCACGTGGCAAGGGGGGGTGAGGGGGTCCCAAGCATTATTCATTTTTCAGACAGGATAATCCGTCATGAATTATTTTGGAATTAAAATTTAGACAAATAACATAAAACTAAAAGTACTTGTTGAAATAATAATAATAATAATAATAATAATAAGATATTTATCATTATAAATATTAATAATTAAACTTATAATTTTTTTTTTAGTAATTTCCTATAATAATTTCGTGGTAAGTTATTTCAAAGAATTATACTAAAAACCTCAAATTAATTATCAAACCTCTTGCATGGGTGTGAGACCCACACAAATCACATGTGAGTAGGTTCCACACCCATTTGAGAGATTTGATAATCCATTTGGTAATTTATTTGGAGTTCATAACATTTTTCTATTTGAGTTTAAAACTGTTACTTACATAATTGTGAGAATATGTGTCATTAATAATGTATAACTATTTAATATTTTGTTAATCAATATTTACAAGATACTTATTCACAAAAGGAAAATTTACTCATAAATCCTACTTTCTGAAAAGTTAAACTATTTAGTCCTAAATGTTTTCTTATGCACCATTTAGTCCCGTTTAATAGCCTATTTTGGGGGGTTTGATTTGATCCATTTAGTTTTTACATCAATACCCTCTACATGAATCTTTCTACTAGAAATTTGAAAAACAGTTCTAGGGTTTCAAATCTCATCACAAACAAGAGAAATGGCGTTGGGATCCGAGATGGAATCGCATACGGCGGCGAGGTCGATGTTTGCGTCGTTCCTCACCTTCCAGTTCTTGTGCGTTAAACGATCCTCTCATGGCACATCATCAGAAACATCATAAAACGTCATCAAGAACATCAACAAAACATCAAGAAGGTTTGATGATGTTCTGTTGCAGATGTAAACTTTCATGAGGATCCTTACTCTGGTTCACTTCCTTGCATGATTATTTCACCACAGTTTTGCCCAGGGGCCAGAACATCATCAAACCTTTAAAAGTTCTAAGACATCATCGTATCCAGAAAGGGTTTGGTCTCAGGGGCCAGAAGGGGCTTTTCAGACACGATTGGTGGCGGTTCTAGGAAGTGGGTTTTCTCTGGGAATGGTGGATCGGAAGGGATAACTCAACCACGTCAATTCGTTTGGTTTGAATGGTTGGGAGAGAAAATAAAATAAATGGATAGATTTTAATCTTTTGTTTAAATTACGAAATAGGAGAAAATTGGAGAGAATTATGATGATGATGTTTGATCAGAAAAAATTGTTTAATCGTTATTTTTGATGTTTGATATTATTTTAATTGTTATTTTGATGTTTAATCGTTATTTAAAAAATTGTTTAATTTTTATTTTGATGTTTAATCGTTATTTTAAAAATTATTTAATTATTATTTTTGATGTTCTTTTGATGATGTTGTATGATGTTTTGATGTTTGATGTTGTTTTGATGATGATGTTTGATGTTATTTCGATGATGTTACTCATAAATTTGATGTTTGATGTTTTGATGTTTGATGGATAATGTTTGATGTCGATGATGTTCAATGGTCACTAACATTGGGATAGGACCTAACGGTTCATAAGAAAATTCATAGGACCAAATGGGTTACAAGATACAAATTTGGGATTTATTGGTGCATGCCCCTATATATATCTCTATGTATATATATTTTTTATTTTACTTAACTAATTTTTTATCTATATACTACTGTTTATTTTGTATATTTATTCTACTTTTTTTTATTATTAAAATAGTTATTGCAGAGAAAAAGTTGATGAGGATTATCTATGATAATCGATAAACTTTTTTTAAAAAGCTAGATGGAAATGTTCTAAATCCTCTGATTTAAGGAAATACATTAATAATACTCTAATTATTATAATAAGAGAACAAATATATATATATATGAGATAAAAAAAAATATTTATATATTTAGGATAAATTACAATGACACTTACTAAGGTTATTGTTTATTCACATTTAAAATATTATATTTTTCTTCCTAAAATTTGTAATCTCATTACAAATTGCCCCCTAAATTACTGATATCGTGTCCTAAAATTTTTTAAATAACTATTTTGCTCTTTTTTCTATCATTTTTTCTTCCTATCATCATGATTATATTTTATAACTTTCCATCATTAAATTCTACCTAAACATATTGGTATTGAGAGATGATATACAAACATAAATTTTATATAGAATTTTCAAACATAATGATATAACTTAATGGTGACCTTTCACTTTAAAACAAAACACTCACAAATATGATTTATATTTACAACAATATCCTATTGCAATATCTTTATGATATTTGTTTGTATTGATTTTTATATGTGAATATAATTTTCATTTTTATTTCCCACCATTATATTTAGATTAGATCAATTTAATTTAGATATATTTAAAAAACATAAAATTTGTACAAAAAACTTTTAAAAAATTCATTGAATATATCAAAATAAGATAATGTATTGAATTTTTTTATTTTGGTGAATTTAAAAAAAAAAAACACAAAATATTATACTTCTTAAGTATATCTAAATTATGTGTATCTAAAAAATAAAAAAAAAATTACTTAAAATAATTAAAAATTTCAGTAAAAATAAAAAAAATGAAAAAAAACCCTCATTTTTTTATGTGAATTAAACTAAAGAAGATGATTGTTATTTTTATTGAAATGAAATTAACAAAATATTTGTATTATTTTATTATTTTATATATATAAAAGTTAAGGAGCAAATATGTCATTTTAATTTGACAATGAGTAAGTATAATTTTTCAAATATGAGAAGAATCTGTATTAAACATAAATCTTAGGCGTATCAATGTAATTTACCCTTATATGTCATATATGTATATTTTGTGTTTGAAATCTTATTGTTTGCATATTATGCACTGTTTTGAAATTACATGGAATTTCTTTCCCAATTATCTCCCTTTTATCTTTTTTCCTTATTAGTTTTTCTCTCTTCTCTGTTTGTCAATTTCTTCTTTCCCTTCCCTCGCTTCTATCAGGCTTTTTCTCTTTTTTATGTCAGGAAATTCTAATGTCTACCTCTTTAAAAATGGTATATCATAGATATTCTTAGTCATGTCATTTTTTTAATTATGATTAATTTTCTTCTTTAGTTATATCATTATTTTAATTATAACTCATAAGTTCTTTAGTTATGCCTCATATTGTATTTAGTTATGACATTTTTTTTTAATTATAACTCAAAAAATTAAAATTATGTTTTTTTTTTTCTTTTTCCCAGTCATAGTCTTTCCCTTTTATGTCCATTTTGTCTCATCGTTCCTTATTATTCTTTTATTTTAACAATATATATATAATCTAATATATATTTTTGTAAAATTAGTGGGATTAAATATATTTAATAAAAAAAAATTTAAAACAATATATTATGGTAGCTAAAAGAAAAGTTTGATATTACAGTTGCAAATTTTATTGGGCACAAGTGAAAATAGGGAAAGTTATACATAAAGATAACTTTAAAAAAAAAAAATCAAATCAATGAAAAACTTTATACATATTAATAATTAACTTTATAATTTTTTTTATCAATTTATAAATATTTAATACAAACTCCACCTGCATGTAATTTACCCTAAAAATTATGCCCCAATGAAAGTGACAGTTATAGATAGTCAATATTTTGGAGAAATTACAAAAAAAAAAAAAAAATCTTAAAGTTTGAAATTTATAACAAAATAAATTTTTAATTTTTTCAATTTAAATCCTAATTTTTCAATTTATTTTCAATCTAAATTATTTATTTATTTTCGTTATGTAAAATTATCGGAAAAGAAGTATTTTAGATATTATATTCAATTTAGGTATATGAAAAATGTCTAAAATATTCTTTTTCATTGAGTTTAATGACTTTTTCATCAATTTTACTTAACAAAAATAAGTAAATAATTTAGATTAAAAATTAATTAACTGATTAAGATTTAAATCCATAAAATTAAAAATTTATTTTGTTACCATGTTCAAATTTTAAAGTTTTTGTTGTAATTTTCCTATTATTTTTATATAGTGCAAGTTTAATTTGTATGCAAACGCATGAGTTTGCACTTGTACCTGACACAATTTTCATTTGCACGCAAAATGACTTGTAAATTCTACTATTCAATTGAAACATATTTTAATTTTAGATATGATACTTTTATTTAAAGATAAATTGTAAATATATCTCTTGAAATTTATATAAAATATAAATTATTTTCTGTAATTTTAGAAATTACATCTTGTTAGACAATTTTCACTGTATTTAAAAAATTTAATTCTATTATGTACACAACAACAATTAGAATTTAAAGAAATAAAGAAAAGGAGATAATTTGTTTGATTACAAAAATCAAACTCGAAATAAAAAATAAAAATAAAAACAGATTTTTATTTTGTTACAAAAAGCTGAAGCATTTAAACAAACATTTGCAAGACATTATATAAAATCACAATATCAATACAATAATAGTAAATCACAACTAACATTTTACATGAAAAGATGAAAATTAATAAATTCATGTGTTAAAAGATTAGATTTTCTAAATTATATCAAGTTTTATGCCTAAAACAAGAAAATCATAAATAAGTGACAAAGATTGAGGTATTGCGTGTGTTTGATGAGAGTGAGAAAGAGAGAAAGAATACCTAATGAACTCTAATCGTAGAAGATGAAAACACAGCAAACTTGTGGTGTAGATGGTAAATAAGGATGGCATG